AAATGTGGTGTGCAAGTGTCTGTTATGCTATTTTGCCTTTTGGTATGACCCAGAAGTGGGTCATACCAAAAGGCAGCTGGGTCATGGTAGTTCATTTTTTGCTCTTTGGAGACCCTCCGTGCTATCTAATGGGTGGCTGCACTAGTCTACTTCCCACCAGCGGTGTACAAAGGTTGCTCTGATCCCACATCTTTGCCAGCATTTGTCGCCATGTGTTTTCTCAGTGACAACAATTCCGACTGTGGTGAGATGGATATTTAAAGAGTTTTAATCCTGTTCCTCTCTCTGATGGTTAAGGTTGTTGAACACTTTTTCATTTACTCCCGTTTTTTTCCTTCCTTCCTTCCTTCCTTCCTTCCTTCCTTCCTTCCTTCGTCATTTCAGTTCATTAGCCCACTTTGCTGATTGTATTTTTGTTGTTTAGTTTTTGTGGCTCCGTAAATATTCTAGCTGTTAATTTCTACTTGCTGGTGATTACTTCCTTTACTATGCAGAAGCCTTTTATTTTTTGTAGAATTCCATTTGTTAGTCCTTGGGGTTTTGCCTTATCATTAGATTCCTTGTCTGTGTCTAAGTCTTGAAGCATTTTCCTCAAACCATTTTCAAGTTTTTGTTTTTTTTGAGACAGGATTTTTCTGTGGCTTTGGAGCCTGTCCTGGACTAGCTCTTGTAGACCAGGCTGGTCTTGAACTCACAGAGATCTGCCTGCTTCTACCTCACGAGTGCTGGAATTAAAGGTGTGCAACACTAATGCTCAGTGCAATTTCAAGATTTTAAGTCTTACAATTAAGATCGGCTTTGACTTGTATGACTTTGGACTTGACCCAAGGATGTGTATAAATGTGAAGAGGGAATGAAGACAGGGCAGGCACAGAGACCTGTACAGAGAAGCTGAGACTGGATGGGCTGTGTGCTCAGATGGAGATTTGGCAGCACTCTGGAAGCTCGGTGTTTTCATTGATTATGCACTGATGCACGGGGGAGTGAGTTTATTGCATGTGCCCAAGAAGTTTACTGTATACACTAAATTAGAAGGTGCCTTAGGTAGTGTCAGTAAGAGGTCTCTGTAGGGAAGCAGTTTTAGGTTGCACTTAACTGGAGGAGGAAACTGGTTGATACTATCTCCATCACTGGTTTAGGTAGAAGTCAAGTTTTTGTAACATTGTACTTGGACTAGAAGGAGGGTCGGGTTTTCCCCCCTTCTGAGCCTGACCCAGGGAAGGCTTAGCCATTCCCATGCATATGAGGAATTGAGGTCCTTGACATGATTGTGTTCATGTTAATAATGCACTCAGGATTTCATCTATGCTGTACAAAAGCCTCTGGTCCATTTTGTGTTTTTTTTTTTTTTTTTTTTTTTTTGTGCAGGATAAGAGAAATGGAAATAGTTTCTTTTTGATGTGAGTATCTAGTTTGCCAAGTACCATTTGTTAAAGAAACTGATCCCCCCATGTATATTTTTGACACCCAAATTCAGAGGGCTGTGGCTATGTGGGCTTATTTGCAGATCATCTATTCCATGTGTCTTTGTGTCTTTTCTAGTACCATCCATTTTTGTTGCTTGACTGTAGTATGACTTGTAGTCAAGTGTTATGATAACTTCAGATGAACTAAAAATTCAATTAGAAAGAAAGCCAAGGGAAACAAAGTGGGCAAAAGAGAAGGACGGGGGAAGAAAAAAGATTGTGGTACTGAAAAACAGCATGTGAATAAAATTAGATGAACAAATGGAGGATAATAAAAGTATGAACAAAGCCTTCAAAAATATATGTTTAAAATACTGTGAAGTGAAAATAATACTAAGAGAGCAATATAAAAAAGAAGTGTTAGAGTGTATTCATCCCTTGAAAATTAGAGATGCAGGTGTGTGCAGCATGAGGGGGAGTATGGACCCGAGAGGCTCTGGTCTTTCCCTTGCTTTATGCTGGTGCAGAGAAAGTATAGGACACACCTGCTGTCTGTCAGAGCTGTCTCCACATCATCAGCTTTCTCTGCCTACCAAAAGCCTTTGCTGTTCTACTTGGCTTTTTCAGGTGTGGTGTAGGTATGTTCTCTCACCCACCCATTGTGGCTATGCTAGTTCATTTCTCTTTTCCATTTTTGCTGTTGGTAGTATTTTGTCAGTCTGTCCTTCCTTCCTGATCTCCTTTGGTCTACTTGTTTTAGTGATGCTTTTCATTGTGTTTTCTACTTAATTGAAATGCTGCTGTCATCTTCTTTATTGATAATTAAATTAGTGTCTTTTTCAGAGCACCTATTCTGTATCATTGACTCTTGATGATGATTGTGTGTGTGTGTGTGTGTGTGTGTGTGTGAGAGAGAGAGAGAGAGGGGGGGGAGGAGAGTGAGTCTGTGTGTCTGTGTATGCCCTACATATGTTGCTGAGGATTGATCTCAGGGCCTAGAACATGCTAGGAATGTACCATCCTCCTAGCCTGTATTGTGGATAGTTCACTATCTAGTGTTTCTCTTTTGAGTCCTTAGTTACAGGCTTTGTTGGTGCTTGATCCTAATTATTCTTAATAGTAAAAACTCGGGGTAAAAGTGGAAAGATCCGAGAAGTAAAGGACCAGCCACAGTCACATCTTACCTCTCCCAACTCCTCAGACTGAAAAGGGTTGAGCTCCTGTCTATGACCTGCCTTATCACTTCCTGTCTCTGCCTAGCCATATCACTTTCTGTCTCCTGTCTTTACAGACCTCCAGACCTCTGTGGTTAACTAGTGGCTAGCTCCACCCTCTGATATTCAGGCAAGCTTTATTTGTCAGAACACAAACAAAATAGCACAACACTTTGTCTATGTTTAGAATTCTCCAATATCATTTTTATGGAGGGACAAAGTCTTTCACATGGTAGGCAAGGAGAAAGGTGATCGTGTTAAGTGGGAAGATGTTCGTTCATCATATAAATACCAATTTACAGTTCTACATGCTGTTGTATTTGGCTTCTCTACATGCAAATATGTGACACCTGGAAACAGTTTTCCTTGAATTAAATGTATAGAACATGGTTGGGCCTTTCTTCTGACTCAGATATTTTTTTGGTCTTATCTTTGCCTGTGGCATCCATGCATTTTTATTACATATAATACATCTGGTATGTACTAAGGCAAGATTGCCCTTAGGTTTTGTGTTTTTTGTTTCTTTTGTTTTGTTTTTGACATTTTCTCAAATGTTTTTCTTTATGTATTAACTTTCTTAATGGGTAAAAACATAAGAATCAAAAGACTTATTTTCTATATATCCTTTCCTTAATTGCATCCCCCCTCCAAAAAAAAAATCTCTTGATAAAAGTGGTAAAGGAAACTAGAGTATCTGTTTTTGAATAGATTGTATTTGTAGGGGGGAAAAAACTTAAATATCTACTACCACAGTTTTCAAATTTTCCTATTGTGAACAATAGTTTGTGTTTATTGAATAGGCTTTATAATTGATTTATTTGGTAAAAAAATATTACAACACATTTATTTTGTTAAAATGAAACTACTGCCGGGCATTGGTGGCATATGCCTTTAATCCCAGCACTCGGGAGGCAGAGGTAGGTGGATCACTGTGAGTTCGAGGCCAGCCTGGTCTCCAGAGCAAGTGCCAGGATAGGCTCCAAAGCTACACAGAGAAACCCTGTCTCGAAAAACAAAAAAACAAAAACAAAAAAAAGAAAGAAACTACCTCACTCTAGGAGGTTTGTGTTCTTTGGAGCAGTGGTCTGGGTGATAGTGAGTGGGGTTCTGATGTGTGAATTGTTGGTATTGTCTGCTAAACACTCTCAAGCCTCGTGCAACACTTACCCAGTTTCATGTGGTTTGTGAAGGGGAACTCAGTCACCAGCTTGAAAAATTTTTAGTATAAATAGCAGAAGACCAAAAGAACACTGAGAGCTCCATTATTTAGCACTCAAAGTTTCTGTCAGGCATTTGAAATCATGAGGTAAATTTGAGCCCTTGATGTTCCCAAAGGGATCTCCTTGTCTCCTTCAGGTTTATCCCTCAGGAATGAGTTTGTCTTTGGGGATAGGTGGCTAGCTAAATAGTTTATCCACTGCCACTACCCAGCCCCCCCCCCCCCCCCCCCGTCACACAGGGTAACTTTCCCATGCACTTAGGGGAAAAGTATAGGTTTTTTCACTGACCAAGTGGGTCACAGCTGTACACAGTGGTTGTGGGAGGCTTAGCTAGAACTCTCCAAGGGCAAATGACTTCCTCGGTGGGGCGAGCATTGTATTTCTGGATCATTATAAACAGTGTCCAACTGGCCACTAATGATGGAACTTGTAGAAGATTCCTGTCTCTTTCTAAATTGAAAGTGTGTTCTCTATAATGCCATTTTCTTACTGGTGATACTGTACTATGGAGGGACTTATACATATGTTTAACCTTGTATCTAAGCTTTCCTCTGTGCCAGTTATTCAAACTGTGTAGGTTTTACAGCTCTTCCTATAGGTGCTGTGGCTAGATACTGCAATTTGAAGGCATATATCATATATACATAAATATATATACATGCATACACACAAAGTCTCTCTCTCTCTCTCTCTCTCTCTCTCTCTCTCTCTCCAAAGAGTATTACAGTAAGAAGTTTCCCTGGTCAAAGTTAGTGAAAGGGGCCTCCCCTAACTTTGCAGTGTTGATTGGTAGCTTCGTGGCAGACGTTTTAAAATAAGTATGAAGGGAGGGTACAGTTTGGATGTGAAAAAGAGCTGAATAAGGCAGGTGCCATACACTTTAAAATGTACAGGTACAAGAAGGAAGACCACTGGTGTCCCTCTGATCTAGATCTTAGTCGTGTATCCTACTTGATGTAGCTATGACTAATAGGATCAAGGTGTGCTGCAATTGTTTTAATTTTGGTTTGCAAAGGACCTCAGTCCTGTTGGTTACCCTTTGTCCTCTCATCCCTGGTTGAGAAGTTGGTGCTTATGAGTGGTGTGACCATTTCTGCCCATTCTTTTCCCTGCTGTGCTGTCCAGAGCCACCTGTTTTCGAGCATTAGGACTTCCCTTAGCATCTGAGTACTGAAGCTGACCTTTGCCATTCTTGTCACCCAGGTTTCCACTTGAGTGGTACAGTGACAGAACCTGCAATACAATCGGAGCCAGAAACCATTTGCAACGTGGCCATCAGCTTTGATCGTTGCAAGATTACCTCAGTGACCTGCAGCTGTGGAAACAAGGACATATTTTATTGTGCCCATGTTGTGGCACTGTCTTTATACCGCATCCGCAAGCCAGATCAGGTCAAACTGCACCTTCCCATCTCAGAGACTCTCTTCCAGATGAGCAGAGACCAGCTGCAGAAGTTTGTTCAGTATTTGATCACAGTGCACCACACCGAAGTCTTGCCAACTGCTCAAAAGCTAGCAGATGAAATTCTTTCCCAGAACTCAGAAATCAACCAAGTTCATGGTGAGTATGACAGATGATGTCAATTTTCTCTGGATTATTTTTCATTTATCAGTTCAATTATGCATAAAATGAATTAAGTATGAGAAATAAGTCATCAGTAATGCTCTTTGATAGAGACTAGCTTTGTATCCTACAATATTGCCTTTAAAGGATTTCATGCTAGAAGGCAAGCCCCTTTTGGGGGAGAGCTAGGTAATGGGGTCTTGTTTGGTGTGGCTGAGGCTGGCCTTGAACTCAAATTTGTCCCTCCTCAGCCTCCCACCTCCCCTGGGATTACTTGTATGCCATACCATGCTTGAAGATTCTTACACTTTGTTTAATTTAGCAACATTTCATCTATGGTAGATACTAGTTATACAAAACACTTGTCAGTCTAATGTATACTTTTTAGCCCATGAACATGTGTACATTTCACTTTAAAATTTACTTTCCAGTATAGGTAGTTTCTTATGTGGTACCTTAGAAAAGAAAATAAACTTTAGAAAAGTATTACAACTTATTTAGAGTTTGTGATATGTGGAGCTTTAATAAAAACAGTTGTTTTCTTTGAAATGAACCCTAAAGAATACATGGAACTGTTAAGAAATAACTGCCAACATTTTTTCATATATTAATACAATGTAAATAATATTAGGTTGGGGGAATGACTCATTCACTTAAAGTACTTACCTCCAAAGCAAGAAGACTTGAGTTACATTTCCAGATTCCATGTTTAAAAAGCCAGGCATGATGGCACACTTGTAATTGGCAAACACAGGAAGATCCTTGGGACTTGATGTCCAGCCTGCTTAGCCTACTTAACAAATTTCAGGTCAGTGAGAGGTCCTGCCTCACAAACAAACCAACAAACAGGCACACACAACAAGCAAACAAGTCTGTTCATAGCACCAGAAATAATTTGGCATTGCAATCATTTCCTTGGTGGTAGTGGCATTTTTGCATCATTAGATGCTGGTTTAGCTTGATCTGCTTTTAAACTATATATATCATACAGTATGATTTTTATACATCTCAGTTAAAGTCTTAATAGTAGAGTTTACCCATGTTGTTTCTTGTACCTATAATTTATTTGTTGTTATTTCCTGGATGCTCCCCTGTCTAACAGAATTGCATTGTGGCCCTAATAGACACAATTTAAAAAATAAAAGCAAAATTAGTATTAATGCCATTTTCTGATTCATACTAATAAATACTGCTTAAATATAATTTATATGTTTTAGATAACTGTCATACTTGTTTTCATGTTTTTAATATTATTTTGTAAGTAAAATTTCATATACATACCTCTTAATGAATTAGTAACGTTTTACACTGTTAACGATGACAAGCAATACTGATAGTTCAAAATGGTTGTTTTATGTGTGACTGATATCGTAAATTGTGAGTATCTGCACACACGCGTGTGTGCTCATGTATGCATGTCTGCATGTGCATGAGTATTTTTGAGGATGGCAGGATATTTCTTTTCAGTCATTTAGGAAGTTCATAATTTTTCATGTGAAGTCTGAAATGTGGTATCTGTTTCATGCTTACAACACCCCCAATCACACCAGGGTCACCCTGCAAGTCTGTAGCCATAAGTGGCTGATGATTACCAGACAACATCACATTTCGTTGGCATATTCTTAGTGTGAGAATGCCACTGTTTATTTGTCCATTCCACTGTTACTGGGCCTTGTTTACAATAGAGCTGCTGTGAACATTCTTTTAGAAGTCTCCATGTACTGTGAGATGTGGTTTTTATTTCGGAGGCAAATTTGTGCAGTCACGTTTCTTCTAATGCTCCCATGTCAGGCTCTGCTTTGTTTAAGTGGTATCATAAGGTGTGGGAAGCATTTTACCTGGAAGAGGCTGTCACTGTTAAATGCAGGAGTATGAACAGCTATGATGCAGAAGTACCTTCTGTGACCCACAGAAAGCACATGCATTCAAGAGCTTCTCAAGTAGGCTTCTGCCCTCTAGGAACTTCTTACCTGTCTGCCTTAGGAAAATTCAGATCAGCCAAGAGTCATCCCATTTAGGGCAGTGGTTTTCAACCTGTGGGTCATGACCCCATGGGTTGAACAGCCCTTTCACAGGGGTTGCGTAACAGATATCTTGCATATCAGATATTTACATTATGCTTCACAACAGGAACACAGTTATTGTTACGAAGCAGCAAATAATGTTATGGTTGGGGTCAGCACAACATGAGGAACTTTATTAAAGTGTCACAGCATTAGGAATGTTGACAACCACTGATTTAGGGCTTCTTATTACAGTGTTCAGTGGACATTGGCAAATAGTATATAATTCCTTTATCTGTTTTCTTTTTCCTTAGTTCAAATAACCAGTTAAAGTCACTTGGTTCTCTGAGTTTTAGTTTAACCAAAGGTCCCATCAATAATTATATATTTGATGCATTTCTCTTGCTGTGAAGGTTAACAGCTCCCTAGGTTTCTTATCTAAAAAGATTTTTTTTTTTAGTTCATTACCATGTTGAAATTGTGTTCCGAATGAAATATTGTAAACCATGATTGTTTGCAGGGATGTATCACATGACATTTCTTTGAACATTTCTGAGATTGGAACAGCAGCAGTGTTTGGGGGCACTAGGAGGGCCAGCTTGGAATCTCCAAGAACTTCTGTATAACAGCTCTTGAGAGTGAGAGCCCCAGTGCTTTACATTACCAGTTGGCTCACTACCTAATTTCTCACCAGTGTGGGCCTGGAATTGGGCCATTTACACAAGCTCCCTACTGCCTTCCCCTCTAGTGTGATGGTGTTCAAGAGAGGTGGCAACAAGCCACAGCCTTACACGAAGAAGTGGGAAATGTGTTCTCTGCATGGCCTAACTTTAACTGTTAGATTAATGACTTAATAGAGGGTGGGTTTAAAAGATTAGTTGACCATGTGGATTCTCCTGCCTTCAAATGTCAGTACATAAAACATTCTTTTTTCAAATTAAGTCTGTTTTCAAAACAGTATTTTCTTCTGTGATTTTGTGCTTATAATTTTCATTTGAGAAAAAATGCCTTGAGCATAAATACTGGGGTGATTTAATTTTTCTCTAAGGAGAAGTACCACCTTTTGGTTTTTCGAGACAGGGTTTCTCTGTGTCGCTTTGGAGCCTATCCTGGCACTCTCTCTGGAGACCAGGCTGGCCTTGAACTCACAGAGATCCGCCTGCCTCTGTCTCCCGAGTGCTGGGATGAAAGGCATGCGCCACCAACACCCAGCCGGTAGTTGTATATTTTTAAGGAAACTTTTTGCTTTTATCTTTATATCTTAACAGAACTTTGTACCTTGCATACTGCTTTTTAAAATGAAGTTAGCATCTTTGCAATGTAGGTACCTATAGGTTAGTTGGTTTCCGAGCCTTAACTCTACTCCCCAACTAATATGAATTGGTGCTTTTCTGGCTTTGTTTCCTATTAAAGGAGGTGCAATGGCTAGGTGTGATGGTGTAAGGGGCAGAAGCAGAACTGTGGCTTTGAGGCCTGCCTGGTCTGTATATAGCAAGACTCAGTCTCAAGGCACACTTCAACAGAAATGGCAGTCTAAATTGGCTCATTGTGGCCTAAGGACAGAATATTGATCTTGAGAACCGGAGACCTAAGAGTTCATTATTTGTCTTTGATATGTATTGCCTGATGACTGGGTGGAACACATTTTCTCTCATACTGAAAATGCTTGTCATCTTGTATGACTGCTTGAGAAAAAAGGATGACATGAATATATGTGATGATAATAAGATACTCAACCACATCTTTTTGGGACACTCATATCATACTTTGAGAAGAGAATAAAGGGCTGGCAAGGTGGGTCATTGGGCAAACATGCTTGCCACCAATCCCAGCTACCGGGGTTTAATCCCTGGAACCTCTGTGGGTGGAAAGAGAGAACTGATTCCCACAGGCTGTCTTCTGACCTCCAGCACGCTTGCCATGGCACTTGCACACCCACAAGCCCCTTAGCACATAGTAAATAAAGAAAATGAGGGTTGAGGTGGTCTTCACTGACTTCCCTGAGGGCTAGCCTGGACTGGACAAACTATAGCAAAGGAACAGGTTACAGGAAACTGGTGTTGACCTTGACCTTGAGTAGAAAGTAGGTCATGTAGTGATCTTTTCAAAACCAGACTCTGGGCCAGTTCTTCAGGTAGGCCAGTGCCCTTGCATGTACCCCAGGATAACATCTCAGTCAGTGAGGTTCAGAGGGATTTAATGATTCGATATCTAATAGATCATTCAACTCTGACATTCCTGTAGAAACACAGAAGACAGCCAGGATCCACACTTTAAGTCACATGTCCTTTTGATTTTCCCAAGTGTTCATTTGATACTATTGCATTTCTTTTAAAAATAATTTTATTGAAAATAGATTTTCTTCTCTCTCTCTCTCTCTCTCTCTCTCTCTCTCTCTCTCTCTTATGAAACTGAGACTATAAATCCATCCTCCCCATCAGTCCTCCTTAATTAACATTCAGATACTTCTGTCTGAATCATTTTATTCATCAGTTTGTATAAGCCTTCCAGTTACCACCAAACAAGTCTACACAGAAGTTCCCTTTTCATTTGGCTGTAAACATGGAGACTCCTGACCTATGTATGTTGGTAGCCTATCTGAGCACAACACATTATAAACACCCCTGAATATTTTGTAAACATTTTCTTTGTTGTTTTTTAAGACAGGTCTCTCTGTGTAGCCCTGGCTGTTCTGGAACTCTCTCTGTAGACCTGGATGGCTTTTACTCAAAGAGATCCACCTCCTGAGTGCTGGGATTAAAGTAAAACCATCTCTTTAAAATTGTCTTGTTCTTTGTAGGAACTTGGCGATTTAGTCTGTATGAGTATGTAAACATATTTCAGACCCACTGGTGAATGACAGTTGGGGTGTCATGTGATGCAGGCCTCATGTCACATTTCTCTTCCCTTTGTTTCCCCATGGGTGGTCATGTCCATTGTAATTGGACTTTCTTTAGCACCCAGCCTTTGCAAGTATCCTAGGGAGAGAGTTGA